TTACTCGTAAAGAACAATACTTTGCCCTTCATGGCATGATAGGACAATTCCTAGGACACACTATGTTTAGCAACCAACTTCCAAACCTGTGACAAGGATCCAAGGCGATTTTTGCATCAATATCATTTTCAAATCAGATGGGCAAACACAGACTTCTAACATAGCAACAATTGTAATCCCAAGAGGAAAATATGAGAAATAAGAACCACTTTCAAAAGTCTATTTGGCTTTAGTGATAGTTTGACAAAAGATTTTCTGATGGAAGTGTGAGTCTGGTGAAGCAGTTTCCACAGAAACTTTCATAAATGGAATTAGGCATGTTTGACATAAAAGATGTATATTTGTTGAAGCTCCAGAGAAAGTTCAGTGATTAAGAGCACTGGTTATTCTACAGACTCGGGTTTAATTCCCAACACACACATGGCTGCTCACAATCACAAACTAGAGCTCCAGGGAATCCAACACCTTCTTCTGGGTCCCAGGCATGCAGTGGTGCACACAACTACATGCAGCAAGACACTAATACAAATTAAAAAAAAAACCTGGTCCAAATAAAAATGCATTAAAGTTTCACATATGGGGAACTTCCTAAACATGAGTAACCGAAATAAATATATAAATAAATGTGAGCAATACATCAGGTAGGCAAATAATCTTTTAATATAAAATTAGAATAAGTTGTCAGAATTCATATTACAATTTTTCAAAGAAAATGCCACTTCTGTGAATTTATTTTATTATTGATAAACACACATGTTCATTGCCATTTATCACTGGAGAGATTTATAAAGTCTAAAATGAATTTAAAATAGTCACTTTTTTGTTTTACACTGCATGAAAGAAATTTCATAATTGTTATTAATTCATCTATCTGAATATGTCATCAAGCATATAAGGAGAAATAGCTCTAGCTGTCTGTCCTTTTTACGAGGACTACTGATGGAAGAGTCCATTGTGTCTGTTCAATGTTCCTATGCAGCAATCACAAGTGTCTTAGTTAAGGTTACTATTGCTGTGATGAAACACCATGACCAGAAAGCAAGTTGGTAGGAAAGAGTTTATTGGACTTACACTTCCACATCACTATTTATCACTAAAGGAAGTCAGGACAGGAACTCAAGCACAGCTGGAACCCGGTGGCAGGAGCTGAGGCAGAGGTCATGGAGGAGTGATACTTAATGGATTGATTGCCCTGGCTTGCTCAGCCTGCTTTCTTGTAGAACCCAGGACCACCAGCCCAGGGATGACAACACCTACAATGGGCTGGGCCCTCTGCCATCAGTCACTAATTGAGAAAATAACTTTATAGATGGATTTCATGGGTGTATTTCTTAAACTGAGGCTCCTTTTTCTCTGATGACTAGCTTGTGTCAAATTGCCACACAAAACCAGCCAGTAAAAATAGAAGTTCTCCTAAAGGCTGTGTGACACTAACACATTTTACCTAAGCATAGATGAACAACATGAGTTCTTTCAGTGACTTCCAATACTCCTGAAGAGAATTCTCTACCCACAAATTCTTTCAATTCTTGCACTTTCTTCCTGAAATTGTTTCCTTACATTTCAGAATGATAGTCTATCTAGGCACACTATTCACATTAGACACTTTTTTTTAGTACATTCTAGTGTTGTATCACGTCTTTGTGGTGCCAATCTGTATTAACTTGTGTTGTGCCTGAGAAGGGGAATGTGGATCGAGAAATGGCAGGTAAAGACACTAAGGAAGAGACAGAGACAAAGAATAGAGTAAGGAGGGCATTCCAGTGAATACTGAACATGTCAAGTTTATTCTTCAACATTCTTAAATAACCCAACAAAAAGGGGAACATGGCAAAAGACTTCTTTATCGAGATACAAGGAAGAAACAGACTCTTCCTTAATTCTCCAAACATTTTGTAACCATCCCTTAGACTAGATCTCTTATTATCTGGCCTTGAGAGTAACCACACTTGAGAACAAGTCTACATTTATTTATTTATTTATTTATTTATTTATTTAATTTATTTATTTTCTTGAGATGGAGTTTCTCTGTGGCTTTGAAGCTGTGCTAGAACTAGCTCTTATAGTCCAGGCTGGTCTCGAAATCATAGAGATCTGCATGCTTCTGCCTCCTGAGTGCTGGGATTAAAGTCATGCACCACCACCACCACCCAGCTGTCTCTTGTTATTTAGGTAAGACATCCATGCCTAAGACCAAACATCCTACAGTGGCTATGCCTTAGACACTTAGGTTTTATGACTTTAACCTTGGAAGAGTAAGGATAGCTTTGAAGTCTCTGACCTTAAGCCAAGATGAAGTGAACTCATTTTTTTTGGACTCAACATGCTAGTTAATTGGTTATAGGTACCATTGATTTAGAAAATATCCTCTGACATTTGCATTTGTTGGTCCTCTGTAGGTAAGGCAACACTCCTTCATGTCTTCTTTAAATAATTTTTTAATATTGCCTTTTCTGAAATTTGACTGTTGATTGTCAATGTAGCCACCCTAGATTTACTCTAATTGGAGTTGCAGAGAGCTTTGCATCTCAAGGGTTTTATCTTCTACCAAAGTTAAAAGGCTGTCCACTTTCCTTTCTATGAGGGTTCAGGCAACACCATTCTTTTTCCTCTTTTTAGAGCACAGTGGTACTACTGTCACTTAGTCTTTTGTCAGACAATAAGATCTATAGCAATTCATTCCTTTCAGTATGTTATTTTTAATTGACTGATTGAACAATTTATATTGGTCTCATGGATTCCAATTCTATGCTCCATATCTTTAATAATAATACATATAATAATACACATATATACTTTACTAAAAGAGTAAAGTATATAATATTTGTATTTTTGATCTTTTTTCTGTGACAAATGGTTCGTAGCCAATAGCTAGCTTTCATAAAATATCTAAGATTTCAATGTTTTTGGTAGAATCAAAATCTTATTCCTTGATTCTAATAACTTGGCTCACATTAACTTACTGTGATTTTAAGTCAAATTGTGTCATGTCTTATTTTTAAGAAAAACTTATTTTGTGACAAATTTTAATGTTTTTCATTTTTGTTATTAAATGAACAATGAAATTATAAAAAAATAATTTTGTTAGGCATGGACATTTCTAAAGTAACAGTGAGGTAAGTAAACCTAGAAAGAAAACATATCTCCCATCTATGTTTCTTCTCTTCAGATTTCAGAAGTGAATTTATTAGCTGGAGTTACTGCAGAAACCATTAGAGTACAAGGAAACTGTGGGATAGGAGGCAGGAATAGAGAGGGAATATCAAGATATAAGTGATATGAAGAAAAAAATGGGAAAATAGAAGAAGTGGGGCTTTAGTCAAAGCTGGGGAAGGGCAATAAAGAAAGTGTGATAGTTTTAATGTAATTGTCCCCCATAAGCTCACAGGGAGTGGCACTACTAGGAAGTGTGGCTTTATTAGAGTAGGTGTGGCCTTTCTGGAGGAAGTGTGCGACTGTGTGGGTAGGCTTTGAGGTTTCCCATGTTCAACCTATGTCCAGTGTGGACACAGATCCTTCTGCTATCTGCAGATCAAGATTAGGACTCTCAGCTCCTTTTCCAGCACCATGTCTGCCTGCACACCACCACATACCACCATGATATGGACAAAACTTCTGAAACTGTAAACCACTCTAATTAAATGTTTTCCTTTGTAAGAGTTGCCATGGTCATGGTGTCTCTTCACAGCAATAGAAATCCTAACTAAGACATAAGGCAAGTGGAAAGGATGATACATAACATTAAGGATGTTAAAAAAAGGTAGAGAATATCATCTGAAATTACATATACTACATATAGGTATATGTGCATGTACATATGTATAGAGTAAATGGAGTTGAGCTTCCAGGAATGATAATGCTCATTCCAAGAGCCACAGACTGTGTAATGAAAACCCCACTTGCAGGCATGAGATTTGTCTTTTCCAGTTGTTGATCAGGGAGGCCCAACAGTCTCTCCAAATGTAAGCTATAGCTATTGCCCTTGGTTGTTTATCAGAACTGGAAAGTAAGTCCATAGTGCTGAAAGTACTTAAGATTGAGAGGATTTGAGCTGTAACTGACCCAAAGGCTTCCTACCTGAGACCGGCTTTCCTAGTACCTGAAGGTGCTAGGAAAGTTGTCATGGGAAGGAAGCAATCAGTAATATTACTTAGTTATGGTACCTATAAACCACAACAGTCAGTGTGGCAATGTTTCAAACCAGTGTCCCATACTCTGCTAGAAAGAACCTTATTTTGTAGCAGATAGAGGACATTACAGAAAGCAACACTTACTTAGAATGCAGAGAACAACTGGCCATGAAGTGACCATCCCCAATTGATACACCTACAACACAACACCCAAAATTAAGGCTCAGAGAACTTCATTGAAGAGAGGGTGGAAAGAATACTAAGGGCCAGGGGATAAGGGACTCTATGTAAAACTATAAAACTATGTCTTCCATATATGTGGCATTGAAGTTATACCCATGAAAATTCAATATTATGTATTCTTAAACAATTTCTGAACAATTCTAACACCAACTGACACCCCAGTATGGATGAAAGAAATCACATAGGGCTTCACCTCTAGATGAACAGCTACAAAAAAAATTAATTAGTATCCCCAAGGAATGAGTCCCCTAACTGGTTATACAGTATTATATGGTCAGTCTAAAAGCATGCATACAAACAACAATAAATGGATCTGACAGGGTGTGTTTACATATTTATTCATCTATACATACATATATGTAGCAATAATATATGCATGTAAAATAATAATTAAAGAAAAAGAAACTATATTTTATAGAGAATAGAGTACAGTAGGGGATAAAGGAAAGTTTGCAGGGACTATAGCAAAGAGGGAAATGATGCAATTATATTATAATTGAAAATAAAATTTAAAAAAGAAGTGACCTCTTACATTCAATCACATATTGAAACACTATAAAATGTAAAGAATCTTTTAAGGATTAGATCAGTAAGAAATATTCTGGAAGTAGGAAGGATGGAAGCTTTTCATTTATTAGGCACAATTTGATGTCTCAGGATACTGACAAAATCAGACACCTTTTGTGCATCACTGTGCAAGCAGAAGAACAAGCTATGTAAACCAAAAAGTTGAATTCCTCTTCGGGATTGCTGGACATATGGCTCTCCAGACCAGGCAGGGTAGTTCTCATTTTCCTTAAGTTCTGGATGAACCTAATGGCAAAATAATAATCAACCAGTTATTATTTATATTATTAATATTTGTTAATCTTCATTACTTCTAAATGCTGAATAATATTTTGGAAGAAAGTTATGAATGTAAATCTTAATCCAAAATATCTGTTTCATGTATGTGGACCAGGATTCTATAAATCTGTCTCTTAGCTAAAAACTAGACAGAAGAACCGTGCATATATTTTTTGTAGTGTAGTTGATCTCAGATGAAGTATATCATTACAGGAGTAGACAGAATCGCTGCTTGGCTATTGACATGCTTTTGACAGGAGGACAATAGAGGACCTAGTGTCAGTTTTCTTGTGAGGAAGTTTTCCATGTTCTCAGTGCTACCTCTGATGTGCCATTTGTATTTTATTAGTTTTCTTAAGAGACAGTTTTCCTTTTCTTCCTTTAACAATATCTGTTCTCCATAAATCATGGACATGAAGCTACAGAAATGATAGGGCTTGTACCTGGAGGGCTAAAATGCTTTCAGCTTAGGAATACTGTGGTAAGATGTGCTTTGGCTCTGCCCAGAAAAGACACTGTCCAAATCGCTTCTAGGAATCATTAACATTTCTTGAGATCTCTGTGTTGTGAGGTGCCGAGTGAAGCACTGTTGAGAAGTTTGAAGTGCCACCTACGCTTTAGTCCCAAGACTGATTATGCAATTACCTGCCTAAATTTCACTGTGGGAGACAGCGAATTAATCCAAAGTTCAGTTTTAATTACAGATTTTTCAGCTTTCCTGAATAATGAGAAAAAGCAAGAGAGTTTAAAGAGATGTCTCACCTGGCTGAGTATAGTCTTAATGCCCTGCAGATGTTTTGTGAGTCTTTTGATTTGACCATCAAGAAATTCAACTTTGACTGTGGTAGCATAAGGAGTTCCATCAAGATCAGCCATGTTGTTTTTCACATGGTACAGCAGGTTTTTCCAGGCAGCCAGTATTCTGATTGTCACATTCAGAAGGTCCACAGACTAAGGAAAACACAATTGAGCGTCGTATTAAAATAAGTGTACAACTGTAGTTTGAATTATCCATGGTAACTAGTGCAGTCTTCACGGCTTGTGAAGTGTTTGTTGATTAATAGAAGCAATGCTGATAGTGTTTTGTGACGTGTCTAGCCATAGAGTAGCTCTCAACACTCTCTTTTCCTTCACTTTTTCTTATGTTTTAAACATGAAAACTCAAATCAGTTCAAAGTTTCTTACATAATAATAGGTTCAGTCCTAACGCTAAGCCTGTGATTAAAATAGGGACAATTTCTTTAGCATTTTGTGGATATGCTTTAAAGTTATTCTTAGTTTTATTTTGTGTGTACTTTATCAGCTGTCTAGTTACTTTTACTGTGTACTCATCCTTTCTCTGCACTCCTGAAGGTGTGGTTACTGTGTCTAAATGGGACTTGTTTTCAGGTGGTTGGGTGAGGACGCACCTTCATCCTTTCAGCTTTTCTTTTGCTGTTTGGGATGGAGCGGGATGCAGTGTGGCAGATCATGGTGGGCCTGTTCAGGAACTTCTGGCCTGGATCATATTGTGCATCCTGGAAATGTTAGAAAAAAAATCAGCTAGTTGGAGTTTTGGAATTGAGAAAATGAGCTTGTGAGCGGAGTGTTAAGTATGAATGTATATTCCGTGTGTAATTAAAAATATTTATTCTGTCAGTTTTTGGAGGATTTCAGCTATGAGTGCTGTATTTACATAATTTTCGCTGCACGCCCTCCTCCCTGTAAATCTTCCTAGATCATCACTCCCTCTTAACTTTATGTTCTCTTCTTTAATATTGTTACAATGCACCGAAATATACATACATATATATGTATATAATATATATATATATAATCCCCCTAAGGCAATTTTGTGTTGCTCATATGTACATGTATTTGTGAATAACCACTGGGGATTGGAGACTTTTGAAGGGGCTTTTCCCTGAAGAACACTGGTTCCCCATGTAGTGGAGGCCATAAGTTGCTTTTAATTATTTCTGTAGGAGTGGGGCCTTGTGAACCTTCTCCTCTTCATGTTGGAATGTGGAGAGTATGTTAAATCTTTAAATGAAGAAATTAAAAAAGAGACCCTTGGTCTATTTACTTCTTTCCATTGGAGATGTAATCTAATTTTCACATCTAACCTATTATTTTCTAATGTCTTTACAACTTTACAGTTCTGATTTCTCTCTCTCCTAAAAGTTACTATTTGCAAAGTAAGCACTAAAACACCAAATTTGCAAAACACTATTTTAATGATTAACTTTTTATAGTGTTAGAGACCAATGCTTAGTATATTCTTATTGGCACAAGTTACACACTTCCTCTAATTACACAATATATATATATATATATATATATATATATATATATATAGTGTAATTAGAGGAACTGTGTATGAAAATATCCAATTTATAAAGAATTATGGATATAATTGTGCTGATTGCAACAGAATCAAAGTATAATATCTTGGGAAACACTACATAATGAAAAAATTTTAAATGTAAAAATATAATTTAATATTTAAATATTAGTTAATTTTTAAATATTATATGTTGCTATATAGTATTTACTACATTTACTCTTTAAATTTGGTAATCAACAAAATTATGAGTGTTTCCTGAGTGGTTAGGGATCTTAAGATGAAAGGTTGCCAATCAGGAATGGAGAATGACAAAAATAAAACAGCTACTTCAGTGTTAATAAATGTTCATTGTGCACATGGTAGCCTTGTGCTCACAGCCATTGAGGCTGAAGCCCTTGTCTACTTTTGCCTCCTGGACTGACTTAGAACAGAAAAGATCTAGCTTTTAAAGTACGATCATCATGAAGAGAAAGCCTGTTTATGTTTCCAATCCAGGGCTCATTTTGTAGTGTTAAACTCATGTCCTCCAAGTCTTTAAACCATGGCTCCCAGATTTGGGGGTCTTGAAAAGCTATTTACTATTATTATTGTTGTTGTATTTTGCCCCTCCTGACATTGTTGCAGTCATTAATTATTTCCAGTTTAAGGGATTCATCCAATTGGATCCTCCTTTATTGTTTATCTTCAGTATGGTAAGTGAAGAATGCCAGTGCAGACTTCCCAGAGTGCCCAAGAACAGAAAATCAGAGCCCCATTTCCGCCCTTCCTCTTAGGCTTTATGTCAAGAGCAGAAATAAAATAAAAAATAAAAAATTATGGAAAATTTGAACGAAATTGCAGAGACAATCAATTCATGTGAAGTCACAAGAATCACGCTGTGTAGCTAAGACTTTTAAAAATGCTTTCAAATGTATTTTAAAATATTTCCATTCCCTGCCTCCAAACTTAGTAATTTCTTGAAGCTCTCTTTGCACCTACCCCATGTTTTAGTGACTGCTGCTTTCTTGTGTCTGTGGATGTGTCTTATTGGAACTTTGCTTCATTTTTTCTCATTTAAGCTGCAGTTCATCCCAGTCACTGACTCAGGGCCTTTTTTATAAAAAAGCCTAAAGTAAGGGAAGGACTTACAAATTCATTTAACGTATCTGAAGAGATGCGGCTGATCGTCTCAGCTGTGGTGCTTGTCATGTTAAACATCCAGCTGAGGACCTTCTGGCAGCCTCCATCTTTCATGACACACCTGGGCACGCAAGCTACATTCTCCCACATGAGCAGCAGCAGCAGGATTGTCCCTGCTATAGGGAACGGAATTGCAGAGACAATCAATTCATGTGAAGTCACAAGAATCACGCTGTGTAGCTAAGACTTTTCTAGTCCCAGTGTCCTCTTGAATGGTGTGGTGTATTTGAGCTGGAGTGAGAAAAAAAAAATACATCTTCCACTGTGGAAACTTAGTCAACAATTTGCAGTAGATGACATGATAAGAGAGGTTCTAGGACCTGTGCTATGACAAACTTCACCTTTAAAATTTGTGACAATGATATGAGCTGGTTTCATTATCAGTGTACTTTTTGACAGACATGGGCCTAAAAATGTTGGTAGTATGTTATTTGAAGAGTGAAGAAACATCAACTGCCACTATAAAAAGGAGTTTTAAACTTCACTGGTACTATAGCAAAGTGTTTTCTATATTGAAATGGAGTCCTGGCCTGGGGAGATGTCTTTATGGTTAAAGAGCTTGCCAAGAAAGCGTGAGGACAGCCTGGCTATGGTGACACACACTTTTAATCCCAGTACTCGGGAGGCAGAGGCAGGCGGATCTCTGAGTTTGAGGCCAGGCTGGTCTACAAAGCTACACACAGAAACCCTGCCTCGAAAAACAAAACAGCCACAACAACAAACAAACTAAAAAAGGAAAGCATGAAGGCAGGAATTTATGTTATTAGGTTCCAATTGAGTGCTCTACCTGTGTGGTATTCCAGTTTGCCTATAATTGTACCTCCATGGGTGGGAATTAGTAATCCACAGCACAAGCTTGCTAGCATGACTAGCTATAGTGCTCATCTTTGTATTTCATTGAGAGATCTTGACTCTGTGACTACGGTTGAAGAACTACAGAGAGGGAGTCCCTATTTCAAAACTTTCATTCTCCATGGTGCACACACACATACAGATACACACACACACACACACACACACACACACACACACACACACTGAATACCAATAAATGCACACACTACACATTTCCATGAAAATAAAAAGATGGAACAAATTGCAAGCCTCAGGAATCAAAATTTACAGAGACTTTTGTAACTTGAAATTTCCAAAATTAAACTAGAGAATTGTTAAAGGATTAATGTATCAGAAATACCTATACTCAAGTAGACAAATAATAAAAATATCACAAAATGTGATATATAATGTGTGTGTGTGTGAGAGAGAGAGAGAGAGAGAGAGAGAGAGAGAGAGAGAGAGAGAGAGAGAGAGAGAGAGTGTGTGTGTGTGTGTGTGTATGTGTGTGTAATTTGGTTTTTCAAGACAGGGTTTTTCTGTGTAGCTTTGGAGTCTGTCCTGGAACTTGTTCTATAAACCAAGCTGGCCTCAAACTCACAGAGATCCGCCTGTCTCTGCCCTCTGAGTACTGGGATTAAAGGCGTGCACTGACACTGCCAGGCTCATAAACAATATATTAAATGTAAACTTAAGTAATATTTTTCAGAATTCATAGTTCCTTTAATTTTCAAAGATATTATGCTCTCTCCTGAGTTTATTTGACACTTGAACATAGACACACACTAATCATCATCATCATCATCATCATCATCATTAGTGGAGAGATGTACGAAGTCAAAATAAGTTTTCTATTTTCTACATTTCCTAAAATAAATCCCATAATTATCATTAATTCGTTTTCTTGAAAACAGTTATCATGGATATAAAGGCAATTAGCTAGCAACTATAGAGTACTTTTTTTTTATTTACAAATTCATTAGGATTGAGGCAAATTCTCAAAGCCCTATAAGATACACAACATTTTCTACTTTAGCTGTGTATTAGAAGTTTCATTAGGTTGGCTCAAGCATGGCAGTTCATGGTGCTTTGGAACCTGAAAGTGTTAACTACATGATTGAGGAGTTGTGACAAATTAGAACCATAGGCACCAGTGGTCTCATTCCAGTGACAGCTCTTAATTTCAGCAGCACAACAATTTTAGATAGACCATTCCTTGTTCTGGAGCTGCCCTGTGCACTGAGGCTGTGGGGATATCTCTCTAGTTTCTATACGCTACAAGTCAGTAAGACACTCACCTTTATTCCTCACTTCAATCAAGAAAAGACACTTTCTACAGTTGTTTATCTCTGGAACAAGGAAGGTTAATCTTTTTAAGACCCAGTGATCTAAATATTCTGTACAGTTTCCTTATGCAGCAAAGATTAGAATGTTGTTAAGTATTGCACAAGAGCGAGGAAAGTGTTCTACACGAGTGGTGATTGGTGTAAAATGAATTCATTAGGCTTCGAGGAACGGAAGGAAGAGAATACTTACAGATGCGTAGTTGAATCGAAGACAGCCGCATCTCGAAAATTCCCACTACATCTGGGTATCAACTGAAGAAAGCTGCTACACTAGAATCTTGTCTTCAGTTACCTTTCTACCACCTATATAGTCCATCAGACCACTCCCAAAGCTATGCAGAGATGATCTGCAGGAAGAAAGAAGATTTGGAATGTGAGATGAGGGCCCGTTGACTCTTCCAGGAATGTTAACTACGTCATTATCATTACTGTAGCCCTAGCTATACTGTTTCCTAATTTGTATACAATGACTAGGCTTCAATGAGGTTATAGGTCACCATAGCCATATCTACTTCCTGATGTTTGGCATTTAGGTCACAGCCAGTAGAATGTAGTCATTTCCTAACAGTTCCTTTATTCCCCCAGGCTCTTCTGTTCATCTGTCAACTTTTTTTTTTTTTTTTTTTTTTGCAAAACTCTTTGAACCACGAATGGGTTGCATATTTTAAAATTCCTTTATGACCATCAGGCAACTACAGCATAGTAACAGTCATTTATTTTCAGCAATTTCATTGGTATGAATCTTTGTGAGCAACCACCAACCATTATAGAGTTTATCTTTGCTACATAGGATGATAACAGCTATCTATGCACTCAAAACCATGTTCAGAAGAGTGTTAGGTACACCACATCTACTTATCAAAAGGACAGTAAAAATCTTGCTACTGGACCTTGCTCCACCCCAGCCACAGAATTTTGGCCTGGCTAACAACATGAAATATAGGTTCCCTTGTGAATTCTGGCAGAAGGTAGTTGGTTACAACTATACCTTTTGCCTTGGACTGGTTAGAATTTTGTGATAGTGTTGACATGAAGCTGATCAGCTAATCTATTGACACTTTGCCTTGGTATCCAGTATAATACATTTAGCAATCTATACATTACCACTTTAGAGATCATGTCCAGCCTACTTTCTCCATATTCTGAAACCAGAGCAGAGTATATCAACATCAATAGATCCTTATTATTTGGTTCATGAGTACCCATTGGCAGTGCATGTATTCTGTGGATGACCTCATGGGCCTCTCTTGTCAAAAACTGTTAGGAAAACAACCACTTTGTCACTGGAATTTGTTAATAACTTTATGGCTTTTGTACATAATTTCACACCAAGTACAGCATGTGCTTTAACATCCTTAACGATTACAGTCACTGTTCTGGATAGTTTTCCAAATATGTATGATGTAACAATTCAAAATTTTACAAAGGGCAGCATGATCTCTGAAGGTTTACTGTTTCCTTCTCCATGAACTGAATTTCTTCCTATAATCTAGCATCAAAAGTGGAATAAGGAGAGAGGAGGATAAAACAACAGAAAGACATCTGGAAAGTCATAAGGAATCATATGATTAATCATTCATCTAAAAACAATCACCCATA